CCGAAGGCGTTGACCGTCGAAGACGCACTTCCGCACCTTTGCCTATTTGTAACAGTCACTCCCGACACCCATAACTCACAGATCCTTGATTCGTTTCAAGAGTTCTTGGGCTCGTTGGAACGAGCGCGTTGAGCTCTTTCTAACGAGACCGTAACTGAGTCAAACCGTTACGAGTTGAAAGAGTTATGCCGGTTTTATCCTTCGCCAAAGGCACACTGTCGAAGGCTTGTTATCTGTTATCGCCGGAGGCGCCCGCACGATGTTTCGCCGACCTTGAGTTCTCCGACCTCGAGTTCGCCGACTCCGAGTTTGCCGACTTGAAGTTCGCCGACCTCGAGTTCGCCGACCTCAAGTTTGCCAACTCCGACTTCTCCGACTTCTTCTTCTCCGAGTTCTCCGACCTCGAGTTCTTCGACCTCGAGTTCGCCGACTTGAAGTTGACCCGCAGAAGTCCGTCGCCGAAGGCGAACATCTAGGGCCGAAGGCGGATATTCTGCCGACGACGAACTACTTCCGCCTATCCGTAGGCGTTCTCCTTTGCATCTTCCGATAGTCACAACTCCTTGAGTTCTCATCTGTTCCAGGCGTTCTTGAGCTTATTAGAACCAGAGCGTCAAGTTCTTTCCAACGAGACCCTAAGTAAATCAAGGCATTAAGAATTGAGGAAGTTATGAGTGATCTACCGCCGAAGGTGCTCGAAGCGAGTCCTGCAGCGTGAACCGCCCGTTCCATTCCAAGCGTTCCACTGTGGCCTAAGCCCAAAACCCCTTGACTGTCCTCGATCCTCTTTTTACTCTGGCTTTGCGTATTGATTACTATTTACAGCTGCTACCAAGGTACTTACTAATCAAAAATGTTTTAGTTCCGGCGAAAAACAAAAAGTGGGTTACCACAATGACCCACATCTCGAAAAGCAGTTTCGCTGATTCGCGAGCATGCAATGTTCCAGACCTCATTCTCAGAGACAGAGCAGCTTCCTGAATCACAGGAGGGCTGTTCTGTGCATTGTTTAAACGATATATCTTATTTTTATCATCGTGCATGCGCAGTAACGAGCCTATGATAGAATGCCAAGATTACAGGTGGCTTTCCAGGGTTTGTAAACGAACACACTGGACAAGCAGCAAAAAGCCAAAGACCACACCTGAGAGTGGGCCACATAGAAGAGCTTAGAGCCGCCAGTTTTGTTATACACATAGTCCACAAAAGCAGGCACGTCGTAAGATGATAGCTCGTCCAAACTCCAGTCCCAGTAGGCCTACAGTTGAAGATGCAAAAGCTGTCAATCAACAGACCGCCGGCGTCTTGCTGCAGATGAGAATCTTCATAGGGTCTGAGAATTCTAGGTACATCAAAATATGTCATGTCTCAGAATATTCAATAAAATATAAAACTCCTAATCTGCTCTGAAGAAACGCGCGAGTATGATGAGAAAAAGCATCGGAAACCCCACAAATTATTCAAGGGCTGAAGTATTATGCACAGAAGTATATTCTAGACCCAAAAAGATGTACCGAGATCGCACAAAGGTGACGTCCGAGCCTTCTCCTCTGGCTTGTACTTGGAGCTGCCATGGCTCCACTGGGTGTTACGATTGCTTCCAATGTAGACGTCCAATCTGGAGTCAGCCAAGATTAAAGCCAAGTCTTCTTTTGGATCGTTCACGACAAAATTGTCCCCTGCCTACGACATGAGTGTCAGAATTTCAGATCTCAGTCGTCGGGACCATTTATGTCGATGTCGGATTACAACCTTCAGCATCACCTCACCTCAGCTCACCAACTTCACGAGAGCAGTCTACAAACACAAGTTTTACAACTAGGAAGAGAAGAGAAGCAGAAGCCTCATTTCGGATGTACTGCGCCTATATAGCACGGATAATTCAAATTCTCAAATGTTCCGGGTATAATGTTCCTGCGCAGTTTCCTCAGCACTTTAGAAAGCTTTATAGCCAAAAATTTAACTTTTATCTATATTAATTGGAATTGATGAACTTACCATAATTGAAAATTTAATATTAAATTAAAAATTATGTTGATAAATGAAATCAAATTTTCAATTACTTCTTCTGATTTTAGAATTTTCAGAATTGAAAACTACTTCTTGAATTCTCATTAACAAATCATATTTATATTCATAAATGTATTTATTATTATACTGTCCTTTTTTCATTTAAATTTTATTATTTATTCTTTATTTAAAAATCCATTCTTTCATATATTGACAATTTTCTTATCATTTTTGTAGACATTACACTAAATTTGTCATCAAAATAATTCTATTAGACTATGAATATAATCTATGGATTTGGATCTTAATTCAACAATGAAATAATATTCTGGGATAAAAAATCGATATTAAATTTTAAAGTGAAAATGAATAAACTTTGAAATAAGCTAAGGAACCAAGAGTAATGATAGGGCTATGACTAAAATAACTCAACAATTGAGCCAGAATATTATAAACTATATTATGGATTATGTATCCAACTTGCTTCAACTGATCAAAATATGTTAATGATAAGTCAAAAGTTTGTCTTGTTTTCTATAAAAAAAAAGGTGCATCAATTTATTTTTTATTTTTTCTCAATATTCAACATCGAATTACTCTAAAACAATTATATAATCCTTTTGTGAAAAACCACTTAATTTTAATCTATCAAATGATAATTAAATGTCATGTTGCTTCAAAACTTTCATACGCATCATTCAAATTTTATTTTTTCTGTTTTTGCTTTTGTTGAACCTATTCAGTTATAAAAATTATCTTGTCAAATTTAATCAGTACATGCATGACAACAATTTTCATACTTTGAAGCAAATGCATAACATGAATATAAGAAGCAAAAATAATTGGAACATTGAGTTTAATGAAAAAATCATCTTTCAGCTCAAGCTTTCTGGCGCTCTAAGCTCTTTAAATTTTCATCACTTCTTGATTTAATATTGTTCAGAAAAATAAAAGGTGAATCAATGTCAAGATTTTGCACTCTTTTAGCTGAAGATGATTATCAGATTCACCTTTGAGTAGACTTGATCCAATATGTACTTGTTTATGACACGGAAAATCTCAATCATCCAAAAATGGTAGATGGCTTGTTGGCTCAGATATTTCTATGGCATTACTTTTTGGTAAACTGCAAATCCAAATGACACAACACATCGGTGTAGATCCAACAAAGTTCAACAATACAAATGTACAAAAATGTATACATAACAAAAAGTTATTCTTCATCAAATTTTAACACAATGATATTTTTAAACACAATTATTCTATATAATCACAATCAAAAATAATATTGTGAATAAATTATTCATGAATTATGATTATATGTCATTTCACTAAAATAATGTCATGTATTACACTCAATACATGACATTAAATACATATATTGACATATCTGATATCATGTAGAAAAATACAATTTAATATATCAGATTGAAAATAACATCACTAGTTGTTTTGTAAAAATTATGTACTATACAAAGCGTAACTATTGAAAAAATAAAGTCTACAAAAAATTATCTTAAGGCAAAGACTTGGAATTTATTTAAAGTACTCAATCATCATTTCAGCATTTAGATAATTTAGAGTTAATGAAGTGTAATTCTATTTGGCAACTAGTTTTATTGCACCAATGCCAAATATTATTCCAAATAACAGATCAATAAAAATTATAGTTGAATGAAAATATTATAAAATAATTGAAACGAATCTCACATATCAAATATGGCATGCTTTAGCTTGCTACCAACATTCTAACAAATACACTCAATCAAAAAGAAAGAAAAAAGATGTTGAAATATACAATTTTCAATTAAAGTTAAAAATACTTTGAATATGATCAAAGGATAATTTAACAGGTTAAATGTTAACATCTTGATCAAAAGTCTAAGTCATCAATAACCCAAAATTGTGTAAAAATATTAATAAATAATCCAAATGAAAATAAGTAACTAGTTTACTTTATAATTAACACCTATGAATTCTGTAAAAAATACAATCAAATGGAACAATATTAATATACTTACAATACTCATTTCTCATTCATATTTATTAGGAAAAATCATAATTAGATATTAATGAAAGCCAAAGACATGATGATCAGCGAAAAACATAACAAGGTCATGTTAAGAAAACAAATTACTAGTTAGAATACTGTTTTGGAAAAAAAAATACTAAGTGGGAAAAAAACTTGGCAATAACAGTTATGATACCCTAATCTAGTGTATTTTGGCTTGTTGGCAGATATATACGTAGAAGTAAAGCATATTTTTGACATGCGTTGTATACTGCAGAGTATATTACTTTTAGTGAGTCAATATAAAAAAATCTTTGCTCACGTGATTTAGGTACAAAACAGGTATGTCAAACGTGAGATTGAATTCAATGCACCAGAAAGTCTCCACTCTTTCCACGCAGGCGCATTTTACGTTGGATATGCTGGCAATTTCTTCCTGGGTTTTGCCTAATCAAGAGAAGTGATATGCAAGGTCCAGGGTAGGATCGTAATGTTGTGTTGATTCAAAGTTCCCATTTGATAAATAATGACAAAGTCACTTGAAGTTCGCATTGTGGAACAATTGTGACGAGATCCTTTCAGAGAGTCTCTGTCCATCTGACACTAGGGCATTGCATCTACTTACTGTGGTGAATTCCAAGGCAGCGTTCATGAGCCTCACTTTTCTTTGTGAGCGGACCGACTTCTCCTAATCATCGTTGCAGAAAATGGAAAGCTTCCTCTGGAGAAATATACCTCAAGTTAAATCTAAATTATGAAGCCAAGAAACACTATTGTAGAGTGGACCAAGTGAAGGAATTCTGGTCACGATTACTGTTTACCATTGGTGCTAGTTGATTCGGACCTGCACTTGGAATGTACCGAAGGATTCGTATCCCACATATGTGAAATTTCTTCCTTATGTGAAATCCTCCCAGCTGAGGTGTTGCGCAGAAAGTAGGAGGAAAATACATCACAAGAAATTATATGGTTTAAATTTACTCGATTGATCCAATTCCAGTCCACACTCCTGTACGATATGCTTGAACAAATTTTAAGTTGGAAGTAGAAAGCACAGTGGAAAGCGATAAAGGGTTAATATGATGAAGCATGCTTCACTATATCATGAAACTAAAGCAGTTTTGTAATGTGCCAGTAGATTGAATTCCAGCCGCTACATAATCGTACTTCAGTCCTCCAATGTCATGATGACATTCAACTGTAATCAGGAGCTGGAAGCTATTCTGTCTGCTCAGATTCCAAACTTTCAATGTCATCTCTCTCTGGACCTTCCGAGCTTGAAGCTGCATTCGTGGTAGAATTGCTTTTGATTGCTATCATATACCTGCCTGATGGGTTCTGCACCAGAACAGGTCGAGGCGTATTATTTTTCACTCCATTGAATTAGACCCTGAAATTTCCTATAGCTTCTGAATGTAGCCTATGCATCGCTACACATTCTGTAATTCGATTTTCAAGGGCTTTGATTTGATACATCTTTGAGATATAAAAGTATCCTGGTACAATGATACCCAAAGCAAACATAGCAATCGTGAGGTAGACGATGATGTTCTTGCCCAATAAATGACACTTGCAAGAGTCAGTATCATGCCATGTTCCGGAATCCATCGTAGTGACCGACTACAGATAGTCGCGTAAGTCTGAGAATTTACTCAAGTATAGCCGTGTAATCTGATCAGCTGATTTGTGCAATGTGGGAAGATCGGAGCGACAAGAGAATTTTGAAGTTCTCACCTTCCAGCGAATTCAGCTTGAAGGTCTGCACAGCGAGGCCATATACAAGTAGCACTGGGTCCATGGCAGCGAGCCTTGGCCGCAAAGTACCAGTGTCTTGCAATGGAAGCTCCCACATGCAACTAACAGCGTGACGGTATAAATAATCGTTAATGCTGAGATTTGAATCATCGGTCTTAAACCATCTCCAGGTCTTGGAAGTGTGCTGGTTTCGCATCTTGACAGTTTGAAATGTCCGAAAAGGTATTCCGCAACGGATGTATCACAGAGATCCGACGTACGGAATACTGAAGACTGGCAGCGCAAATTCATTCCTCGAGGTCTCAAAATCTTTGAACAAATTCAAAGAATTTGAATGATTGAAAGATGCAGATTACAACTGAAATTTGATAATTGAAAAATACTCAAATTTTTTTTATAATGGCTGAATAATCTATATCCTAAATTATGTACCAATTATGTGCGTACTTAATTTAATAAACTTTAATTTATTTTTAATTTCAAGAATATAGGAAAAATTACCAACAGTTTATTGATTTTAGTTGTCCTTAATTTACCATTTCCAGACATAATTTAGCCCCTTCTACTCCAGCTTGTTTTTGTATCTACTATGGTTCAACAGAGCAGTGGACTACTGACGTAATGATTTATTCTAAAGATGGAAAGATTATTCTTAATTTGAAAAAATACATAAAAGATATCCAATCTAAACGATTCCGATGGATTTGAGTAAATAATAAATCAGAAATTTTCAAAATACACGTGGGAAAAATTTGAGTCTTTTCACAATTTACGCCTCAAATAAAGAGGCATTTAATCAATCTAAAATAATATTTATTAGTTTATCAAGATTTTATATGTCATTATTAAAAATCAAGTATTATTAAATATTTTTCATGATATTATTTTTCAAGAAAATGATGCAGATTATGATACATTTATCTTGGAATTCCGAGTAAAACTTATCTTTGAATCAAATTTCTAGAAAAAAAAACAGAAGCTTAAACATGTGGCATAGATTAAAATTGTATTTATCCTTTTCTTTATATGTAACGCAAAGAAAGGCATCAGCTTAAGTTCATGGATTCTTATTTTATGATTAACGTCTTAATACGTCTTATAATATTTTGATTATATGAGATATTTCTTGTAATTTATCTGAAGCCTCAAAGGTCATGAGTTCTTTATGAAAAAAAAATGACCATATGTTTGTTACTGGCTAAATAAGATCGTGCTAGTCAAGCAGTCCTTACTTTTATACATCTTCATATTAACGAAATATTTAATATTTAATATCTTTAACATGTGATTATATATTTATTATTATCATTATCACATAAGTCCTGCAAAGATCGAAAACGAAGTCAATTTGTAAATAAATACTTGTTTATCACGTCATTTAGATTTACTATTCAGAGTACTTTATCATACTGATTACCATCTTATAATGACAAAGTAGTAAAGTCATCGTCACATGGATGCACTATACTATTTACATCTGAACAGTTAATGCACGTAAATCGCATGACATTAAAAGTTAATGAATGATTTATATCTGTCTTGATATTTGAAAACATAACAAGTTCTTATTGAGTCAAGATTTGCCATAAATGTCTAAAAGAAGCTGAATATCATGAAATGTTTGAAAAGTATAGAAGGATTCAGCCACGATATAGAATCCAAGGAGCTTAAATGTGGTTGAAATTTTTTTTAACGGATTTTGACTGCTACTTGATAACCACAATGAAAAAGCTAGAAAATCATTCAAATATTCTAGACATTATTCAATGTATTCCAACCAAGATTAAATTATTACACAAAATGCAACATGCAAAATCTTAATACATAGTTATTCTCATATATCTATCTTGCTATAAATGTAATTGTTGAACTACATATATGATGTTCAAAATTAAATGTTTGAATAATTACAAAAACACTGCTTCATAGTTTTCTGAACTTGTTTTTTAAAAGACATTGATTATCATTATATATTTAAAATTATTACACGAAATATATCAAAAAATTATTATTATCGTTCAAATATGAAAAAAACTTTAAATATTTTTTAAAATTTCAAGTTCGGATAATTAATTATCAGAAATGAATCCAGAGACATTTATGAAGTTCTGTGCATTATTACAGCTAAATGACGGGTTGAAACTGAAGCACAATCTGCCTTATTTCGCTATATAAAAAATTTAATTCATAAAGGAATAATGAATTAATTCGAAATCTACTTTCTTAGAGAAGTTTACACTGATGAAGAGTTGGTGTAATTGAATAATTTTTATATATTAATTTTAATCCAACGATGGTTCTAATTAATGTGTGTAAAAGAAGAAGTTGAATTAATCTCTACAATTTTGTAATAAAAACAGGAATAATTGTGCTCACATTATCAAGCTCAAGCAAATTTTTTTACTTCTATTATATATCAGTAATAAATTTTCATCCAAAATTGTAATTTTATTTCAGCTTGTATAAACACAATAAATAGTAAGTTCAATATAAATAAGCATTCTCATGTGATGTTCAATCTTAAAGATATTCAATATGCATGTGTGGTGACATCTTATTATATGTAAATAAATCAGAGGCTACAAAAAATTAAAAACATGCTCTATGAACTATGAAAAATTTATAAAATGAGGCCATAAATACAGACAAAAAAATAATCTCAAATATAAAATAATAAAACGCAATTTTTTATAAAAATCTGTTCTAGAAAAGATAAATAAAGAAGCTTTTTTTTATATAAACTCAACCTTCATTTCTAAGGTTTAATAAGGTCTTCAAATATGTTTTTTGAAACATTTATAAGACTAAAGAATTTTATTCATTGTAACCTTCTTTTTTCCATTATAATCTTAACCTTCATTTCTTACCTTTTGTTAATGCACAAATATTATTCCTTAAGCCTACTCACATATTAACAAATCTGCTCAAAGAATCTTATCATATTGTAATTTAATGTGAATTATCATATAATATGATAGATGATTCACTGTTTTCTTTATTTTCAGCATAAATATTTAAACTTTGTGATTTTTTATAGATCAACTCATTTTCTTTATTTGAAATTAGTATTTCAATGACTCTAGTAGACCACACTCAACAACGGCGTGGAACACTTCGAGTAATGGATGATCTTTGGTCGGCTGCTTCAGGCGAAACCAATTCCCATAGTTTGAGGGAGAGTTTGTTCAGGGCCCGAGTACTTATTCACCGCAGCATGCAATATGTATTGATTATAAGCTAAATTTTTTCGTTATTATGATTTCAAAATAACGTAATATTTCAAAATTCTAAATATATCAGAGTGATTTGAATGTTTCTAATTCAAAGAGTAGGTATTATTGAGATTATATTGAGAATTTTTCATTCATTGAAAGTAGTAACAAAAGATTAGTAAAATTTTGGTAATAGTGAATCATAAATTAAGATAAACCTTAAGATTTCAACAAATTTTAAATTGAGTCAAAATAACATAATATCTATATGTGAAGCCAACTTTAGCTTCACAGTGCAAATATTCTTCGGCAATATTCAGACTTTAATTTAACAATAATTAGTGCTTATGTGAAAATTTCAATAAATAAATATGAATGAAATGGATTTTCCAATTTTTTGATAGAATGTGGTAATTTAGAAGTTAGCAAATTTCATTTCGCTAATGAAAATTATGTCTCGAAAAAATGATTAAAAAATATTGGTGAGAATTTAGTTAGAAAATTTGGATTTCGATAAATTTTTCCCATGAACTTGTTTTAATTTTTTTATATAAAAATATCAAAAATTAAATATAGATAATGAAGATTAACAATAAAAGATTTAATTTTGGTAGAACAGACTGAAAACATAATATGACAATATTCATCAATCAATTTACTTTTCAAATCAGTTACACTTTCAAATAGCTATTATTTCTATTTGATGTTTCATCCAATTCAGCTTGACATTTGAGATAGAAGTAGCAGTGTGGATAGATTTTTGATGAGAACAATCTGCTTACATAAATCTTTCCATCTTTCCAATATAACATGCCCATATACAATTTTTGTGTCCAAAATGTGCTTGAGATTCTTAAATTTTATTAAGATAATTACTTTGACGTAAGTAATATATGCCTTCTATTCCAGAAAACCAAAGAAAGTGGTTTGAAAGAACTACATGTTTTGTCTAGCATATTTAACATGATATCAATTTAATTTAACATGATATTATTGCAGCTTACTGAATATGTTGCAACGTCAACCTCAATTTTAGAGGAAGGTCGGTGAGATCTCTCATTGTGCTAAACCCTCACGTGAGAATACTGGATTGACAAACCAGAGATTCTTACAAATCAAGCAATGTTGTTCTTTTTGTATATTTTTTCAATAGGTTTAGCCATAGACTACAACCACAACCAAATCGTGTTGCTTGAGGCGTATGACCGCGAAAAAAAATCATCAGTTGAGTTATGCTAATGGTCTCCCTGGGGAGCTGATCAACTCCATCGTTGTAGTGCCAAGTCCTGCCGTCTCAGAAGACTCTGGTACGCGGGGTCCCGGTGAGCTCCACAGCCAGATGAGCCGAGATGGCCAGGATGTCCGCACAGGAGACGTCCAGGGGCACTCGACCTCCACGACAAGATTAAGAAACGCCACGGCCTCTAATCCACAGAGAGAGAAACTGGGAGTTGCATATTTCTTAGCCTTTGGGCTAGCGTTTTGAAGCCCGGTTTGGACAATGGTAGCACCGTCAGCTCCTTAGACTATCGCGTCTTGTGACCAGAGGCGAAGTAGAGCTGGCGGGTTCACGAGATCCTTTCCACGGCGCTTCTCATTACAGACCTATGTATGTCCATGACGGTAGGACAATCTGTATCATAGAGCTGCCTAGAGCTGGTGGCGTAACTGCGATCACGGATGCAAATATGCTTTAGCGAGAAATCATCATTGTACAGTACTTAGTTTATAGTTTCCATTAAAGCACTCATCAATGGTGAGTCACATCACTTAAAGGTATACGTTAACAAACATCGATTACAGTTTTTTGAAAAGAAACCGGTATACATTTCCAAGCTAAATAAATAGCAGTTTTGAATAAAGCCGTAAGA